GTTGCCTGAAAGGAGATCTTTCTCCCTCAGAGCAGTTAGTAGATTCGAAATGCCTGCCCTTGGGCTAGCAGAACACTTCCTTACCCTTAGACCATGAGAGCTCCCCATTAACCACAAGGTGGTCAGCTGAATCCTCCCAGGAGTGGCTAAGAAGAAAAGCCTGGAGGTTTGCTTCTGAAAGGATGCCATCCTAGAAACTCCATGGTGACGGGGAAGAATTCTCCTCTAAAATGCACAGATGCTATGAGTTGAAAAAAAAAAAGAAAAATTCTACCTTTAACCCATCCAAGATTGGGTTCATAAAAGTGACAAGCACTAACTTTTCAAGTTCCATATTAAAAAGACCAAGAAAATCCTCCAGAGAGCAACACGGAGGCCTCACAGGGTGCAAAAGTGTTTGTCTCTCCTTTCCAGAATCCCTTCCAGATTCTTCAGGGGCTCAAGGCACACAATAATGACACTAACAAGAAAGGATAGTACCTCATAAAATGAAAAAGTAAAACCAAGAAAGCTAATGTCTTCTATTCTAACCCATTCTATGCAGGAAATGTTGGGGGTCAGTGAAAGAGGAGACCCTCAATGAGCTGGATTAACACTGTGACTACAGCCCAGGCGAGGATGGCGGAGAACATGAAGATGGGGCAGGGCCAGGTAAGAGTCCAACAGTTTATTGTTGACAGGGTCACTATGAGATGTACTCAACTTGAAGACTTCTTACAACAACATATGACGTTATTGTAACCCAATACTGAAACCAGACAATGACATCACAAGAAAAACTACAGTACATCATCTGTTAGATGCAAAATTTCCCCAAAAAGATTCCCAATCAGGAGCTGATCCCAGCTGATACAAAGTGGGGTTTATCGCAGGCATTCAAAGTTGTTTTCCTACAGAAAATTAATGTAATACACCAGATTAAGAGGATAAAGTATAAAAACCACAATCATTTCAATGTGGTGTTGTTGTTGTTATGTGCCGTCGAGTCGCCTGCGATTCATGTTGAAAATCATTTGACAAAACCGAAGTGTTTCATGATGATAACCACAACAGATAGGAAAATGGAAGAAATGTCTACAACTGGATAAAGAGTTATCTATGAAAAATTTACAGATAACATCATACTTAACAGTAGAACACTGTTTTTCATCTAATAACTAGAGTAAAATTAAATGTACGGTTTTGTCACATCTACTCAAAACATTTGGAAGCAGGAGTGGCATCCACTTCCTGAACAACATGCCTCTGGAAACTATGAACCTTGAGAAACTACAATAGTTATAGAAAGGCTTCTGGTCTTTTGTTCATAGAGTCACAAAGAGTCATGCTCAACTTCATGGCAATAAAAAACAACAATAACATTCATAACATACTCAAATAAAGTCTTGTAGAAATTAACAAATAGCTAAAACAGTACATCAACCAAGAATTGCCAGGAATTGAAGTTGGATTTAGAAGAGGCCGTGGCATAAGTGATATCACTGCTGATGTCAGTTAGATCTTAGCTGTAAGCGGAAAATACCATAAGGATGTCTATCTGCTTTACTGACTATGCAAAGGCATCTGACACTGTGGATCATAACAATTTAGAGCTAATACAGACAAGAATGGGAATCATGCTTATGAGAAATCTATATCTAGACTAAGAAGCTATTGTCCACAGAGAGCGAGGGAAGACTGCATGGTCTAAAAATCCAGAAAGGAGTGTGTGTCCTTTCTCCAAAACTATTTATTCTGTATGCTGGGCATATCACTAGAGAAGCTGGTCTACATGAAGAAGAATGTGACAACAGTACTGGAGGACGATTCATCAGCAACTTGCATCGTGTAGATGACACAACCTTGCTTGCAGAAAAGTGAGAAGGAACTGAAACCTCTGCTGCAGAAGATCAAACACTACAACCTTCAAGATGGTCTCAATAGCAAGAAAACACAAACTCTCACTCACCACTGCACTAACAGGCAACATCATGATAGATAAAAAGGTCGAAGCTGTTAATAATGGCATCTGACCTGGATCCACAATCAACACCTGTGTACAAACAGTCAAGAAACCAAAAGATGTGTTGCATTGGGAAAATCTACTGTCAAGAACCTCTCTAAAATGTTAAAGAGCAACAACATCCCCTTAAAGACTAAGGCACACGTGATCCAGACCACAGTCTTTTCAATTACATGCTATGCCATCTGAAAAATTAGACAATGAAGACGGATGATGAAGAACTGAGGCCTATGATCTGTGGTGTTGGAGAAGAGTAGTGAATATCTCATGGACTGTCAAAAAATTGTCTTGGACAAGCTGCTAGGAGAGGTCAGTCCTTGAAAAAAGACATCAAGCTTGGAAAGGAGAGAATCACTGAAAGAGAGGAAAAGTCTCAACAACAAGGACTGACACAGTGATTACATCAATGGGATCAAGTAAGTCAGAAAGGATGAGGATGGCTCAGAATAGAGCACAGTTCAGATCTGCAGTTCACGGGGTTGCTGTGAGTCACGGTCAACTCGATGGCTCCTAAGAACAACATTCAATACTGCACTGCAGGGTCCAGCCGTTACATGTGAGCAAGAGGAGGAAATAAAAAGCTTTCAGATCAATTCAGATGGGAGACATAAAATCATCTCTGTTTGTAGATGACACGATCATGCATACAGAAAAAGCTAAGATAGCCACCAAAAAAAAGTATTAGCATGAATTAATTCAGCAACACTACGGAATAAAGATCAATAAAAATCATTTGTATTTCTATATACTTGGAATGAACTATGTGGAAATGAAATTCAGACAACAATTTGACTAACAATACCACCAGAAGAATACTGAGGGATGCATTTAATAAGACACATTCGAAATTTATACTCTGAACATGACAGTCATTGTTAAAAGAAACTATATAAACAAATGGAAAAGTTTATAGATTGGAATACATAATAATATTGTTTATTGTTGTTCTGTGCAATCAAGTCGATTTCAATTCATAGCAACTCAATATGACAGAGTAACAGTTCCCAAATTAATCTATAAAGTCAACATAATCACTAAGAAATTCCAATTGACTTCACTGCAGAAATTGACAAACCCATCCAACAATTCGCATCAAAGCAGAAGACACCCAGATGAGACCAAACAATCTGGAAAAGGAACAATATAGAGGGAGAGTTCAAGTTTTAAAAAACTACAAAGCTACGGAATCAAGACAATATGGTACACACAAGGACAGATATAAATAGCAAGAGTCCTAAAATGAACCCACATTTTTCATGGCAAGTGATTGTTTTATGAGGCTATCAAGACAATTCAGGGGAAAAGAGCTAAGTCTTCTACAAATGGTGCCGGGACAGTACACCTTCACATACGACAGAATTCAGTTGCACTTCTACATCACACCACATTCACAAATTAACTCCAAATGAACTGGAGATCTGAAATCAAACTCATAGAGAAAAACACAGGCATTAGGATTCATTTAGACTAGGTTCAAGGGGCTCTGATGGCACAGTCCTTAGGGTGTTGACTTGCTAACCCAACAACCACATCTCTCTGACAGTTCAAATCCACCAGCAGCTCCTTGCAAGAAAACAGGCAATCTCCTCTCATGAGACTTAGAGCTGTAAAAACTCAATAGAGGGTCAGCCGTTAGTTCTTATTTGATGGCAATGAGAGACAGAGAGACAGACAGAGAGAGACAGCTAGATAGAGAGAGAGAAAGAGAGAGAGGTTACTTAGGCATGACATCAAGTGCACAAGCCACCAAGGGAAAAAATCAAGTGGCTATCATCCAAACTGCAATCTTCTGTGTGTCAGAAGACATAACCAAGGGGAGCTCTGGTGGCCTAGTGGCAAGGAGCTGCAACTACAATCCCAGAGGCGCACGGTTCGAATCCACCAGATGCTCTGCCGGGTAAGGAGGGACAATCTCCTCCTGTACCAGTCAGATCTGATTTGACGGTACACGCACACAAAAATAATAAAAAAAAAAAATAAAAAAAAAAAAAAAAAAAAAAAAAAAATAAAAAAAAAAGAAGACATAACCAAAAAGTGAAAACACAATTGGTGCACAGGATGAAAGAAAATGCTGATAAATCAGACTAAGAACTAAAGTACACAAAGAATGACTATAAATTAATAATAAAAACCCAAGTAGCCCAATTTTAAAAATGAAAGAGATTTAAATAGGTATTTCTCCAAAGAAGATAATCAAATGGCCAATAAAAACACAAAAATATGTGCAACATCATCAGGAGATGCAAATGAAAAGCACAATGAGGTACACTTCACATCCACTAGGAAGTTATATCCCAAAAGGCAGACAATAGGAAGTGTTTGTGAAGACTGTGAAAAATTCAAAGTCTGATACACAGCTGGTGAGAATGTAAAATGGGGCATCACTTTGGAAAACAGTCTGTCCGTTCTTTCTAAGGCTAGAGAGAGTGACCATCAAGTCTAGTAATTTCACTCCTGGATTTCTCACACATGAGAAATCAAAACATATCTGCACATAAAACTTGTACAAAGGAACATTCTCCACAAGAGCCTCAAAGTGGAACGAACCCAAATGCTCATGCACTCACAAAGAGATCAACAAAATATGACAAAACGGTAGCACGGAACATTATTTGGCAGTATCAAGAAATAAAGTACTGATCTCTACTTTAAAAATGGCTGAATTTGAAAACATTATGCTAAGTGAAAGAAGTCTGCCATAAAGAAACACATTATGGTATAAGTCCATTTATATGAAGTGTCCAGAGCAGGTAAATCTACAGAGCAGAAAAGCCGACTGGTGTATGCCTAGGACAAGATGAGTTAAGGAGAACTAATGATAGACCTTTTATCGGCATAGAGATTATTTCTGGAGCCAATGAGTATTTTTAGCATTAAGTGTGGTGACAGTTGTGAGATTTTACAAAAACACAGTAAAAACCACTGTACACTTTAAAATTAATTGTATGGTATATGAATTAAATCTCAATAAAGCAGTTACCAAAAAAGTCTACTTCACCTTGAAGGAGTTGGGTCATCTTGGCCAAGGCGCGACATAATATTTATCAAGGTGTTAATGCCTATTAAAAACAAAAAAGAAATGCCTACATAACATGCATGTAAATACTGACAACATTCTAGGGGCAATGCCTCAAATACACAGATTTATCTACTGCATCCCAATTTGACTTCAAATTTTTATGTCTAAAAATTTGATCACGCTAATGAAAACACTCAACAGGACAAAGAAAAGCATTTTTTAAAAACTTTATCCACCGTTATTCTGAGGCTTTGCTCAAAGTGAATGCGATTGCTTATGGCTCCTGAAACAGTCACACAGGGAAGCATTCCCAGGGCGGACACGATTCCCAACTTGGGCAGTATGGGCCAACACATACAGACACACTACATCCGTAACATCTAGACCTACCCTTTTTCCGCATGTGCATGTGATGAACCTTTCGGTCTCCATATTTGGGCTGGCGAATCCCACAGTTAGACAAAGAATTCCTGGCATGATCAGGATTCATCCCAAAATTCAAGTGATGACTCGGGTGAGTCATGGCCAGCTAAAATGGAAATGAGTCATAAAAATGCAGCCCAGACCATTTTGTAATCCCTTCAAATGAAATGAACTAGGGATCTGCTCCGTCGGCACAATGTTATCCTCCTGAATTTTTTTTTTCCTTTTAGGACTCATAAGAGAAATGCAGGTTAGAGCACTCAGCTGCTAATCTAAAGTCTAGTGGTTCTAAACCACTGGCTCTCCTAGAGGCGAAAGAAGAAGTAGGGTGTAAGAACATACAGCCTTGGAGCCTGTTCTTTAGGGCCACTGAGGAGAAATCTACTCCATGTCAATGGTTTAGTTATCTATTCCATTTCCTCCAGTGCAAATCTCCAGGACTCGAGTCTAAGTTCTCTTTCAAAGAAAACCCACAAGTCCACCTCTTTGAGAGCAGAATTAGAATACTCAGCAGAGGGGTTGGGTGTGAAAGAGACATTTTTTTGTAGCCTAAAGTTTCATGAACAGCTTCAAAATTTAGAAGAAAAGGAGAGAAAGGGGGTGGGGAGGGGAAAAAGGCAAGAAGCAATCAGGGTAGAATAACAGAGTGGGTTTTGAAAGTCCTGTCACCTCGCAGTATAGAGACCCAGCATACTATCTGTAACTCACAAGATGAACTGCTCCAATCTTGCTTTTGTTGTTGTGTAAGGGGAGTAATTCTCACCTGTAACAGACAACGATCTTGGAAAGTATATCCTATCAACTTGTCCAAATGCATTAGGCACTGATGGTAGCGGATGTGGTGAGTTAAAACAGGCAACATCATTGCATGCTGGAGGAAAAAGAGAAAAAAAGGCACAAAATACCTCAATATAAAAAGGTATAAAGACACTGTCTATTTTACAACAAACAAGAACTCTCTGACATCCCGGCTCACTGGCAGCAAAGCACGCTAGGGGGTCTTTTAGGAGGGGCAGAGCACTGGGGCTGTTTAGGGTATAGTCTCTGTAGCCAAGATGACTAGGATCAAGTCTTGATAAATCATTAATTCACGGAATGACCTGAGGTGAGTTCTTTAACCTCTCTGCCCCAGTCGCCTCATCTGTAATACAAAAACAGCTACTTCCAAGAGTAGTTAGAGGGAATATGCGCGCACGCGCGCGCGCGCGCGCACACACACACACACACACACACACACGGATTTGAATGAGGTCTGTGAGCCCTTATTCCAGCACCAATCAGCCTCGTTCCATCAGTATTCAGCAGGGTGGCCTCACAAAAGACACATGGACTTCTGTGCTTCCTTTTGTACTTTTAATTCTAAGGAACAGTTATGTTATTAGGTGTCATTCGGTCAGTTATAAATCACAGAGCTCTTACATACATAGAGAATAAATGACCAACCGTGCAGTCACTTTCAATCACTGGTGGGGGGCGGTGCATCACTAAGCCACTGTATGGCTCCATCCCAGAGTCTCCCCCGGTTTCCTGACCTACTTTACCAAGCATAATGTCTTTCTCCAGGGAATAGTTCCTTCTGACAACATGTCCCCAAAGCCTCACTGTCCTTGCTTCTAAGGGGCATTGTGACTGAACTGCTTCCAAGATAGATTTGCTTGATTTTCTTTCTAGAAGTTTATGGTATATTGAATATTTTTCAGCACTGTAATTCAAAGGCATTAATTCCCCTTCAGTTCCCTTTCTTCATTGAGCAGCTTTAGTATGTATATGAGGTCATTAAAAATATTTTACTTTTGTTTTCTGAAGCCACCCTTTGAACTCTTCAGCTCAGCTCTTACTTCATCGTTTCTTTCTTTCCTTTAAGCCACTCTCCATTCAAAACCAAGTTTCTGTGTCTTCACTGACATTCATTTTCATCTTTTCTCTTGCTTGTCTTTTTACTGACCTTTTACTTTATTCATGTATTGCTACTGTTGTTAAGTGTCATTGATTAGACTTGCCTATGACTCACAGTGACCCTAGGAACAGATCTCAATTACACTCTGCCCAGTTCACATCAGCTCTGATATGACTCAAGCCCTCTGTTACAGTTACTGTGTCAATCCATCTTGCTGGGCATCTCCCTGTCTTCCTCTGACCATCCACCTCTCCCAGCATAATGTCCTTTCCCCAAGGATTGGCCCCTCTGGACAACATGCCCAAAGTATGTGAGATTAACTTTTTATCACCTTGACCTCTAAGGGGCACACTGGTTGCACATTCACCAGCAGAGACTTGTTGGCCATCCATGGAATAGTCAAGCATTCTTCTCCAACACCACAACTCAATGGCATTGGTTCTTCTTCTGCCGCCCTTTCAGATGTACAGCAAGTACTGGAAAACACATGGCTTGGATCAAGCGCACTTCAGTCAAACTGACATCCTGCTCTTTAGCACTCTGGAGAGGTCTCTGACAGCAAATTCTCTCAGTGCAACACATCTTTTTATTTCTTGACTTCTGTTACCTGGCTGTTGATTCAACAGTAAAATGAAATTGCTGACAACTTCAATCGTTCCTTTGTCTATCATGATGCTGCCTATTGATCCAGTGATGAAGATATTTTTCTTGATGTTCAGATGGAATTGAAGTCTATGATTTTCTGCACAAAGTGTTTCAAGTCCGCATTACTTTCAGCAAGCAAGATTGCATCATCAGGAGAACACAAGTTGTTGATGAGTCTTACTCTGATCCTGATGTCGCACACTTTATAGGGTGTCCATTTATTAGTGTTCAATGTGTCAGGAAATAGGTTAAGATTTACTGATTTTGACATTATTTTAAGACCAACATACTTGAGAATCTAAGGTAAATCAGCTTGCACTCAGAAAAAGTCTCACGGGCACACATGAACTATTGTACGCAGCAGTGATGGATTCAGACCACCAAACCCCCTCACGATCCCTCAGAGAAGCTGTGATGCAATTCCAAAGGCTCGTGGTTCAAATCTACCAGCTGCTCTGTGGAAGAAGGATGGGCAGTCGTCTCCCATGTGATTTACTTAATCCACTGGAGGGTCAGCTGTGGGTTGGTTATGACTCAACGGCACACACACACCCCTTATAAAAGATATTTCAACCAGATTAATGCCAACAGCCATTCCAGATTTAGTAGTTAATGATCTAACATTCTCAGAACAAACTTATAAAGCTCTCGTACAGTAAATGTACCTGAGAATATGGAACTTAACATTTTTGTTTTAATCTCATTTCACTTGACTATAGATTCCTTATTGGGAGATAATTTTATGAAAGGCATTTTCTTCTTCTTCTCTTTAACAACATTTTCCCAGAAACCAAGAGACTGAAGCAGGTATTCTTCTAAGAAGCTGGAGGCTGGGCACAGCCCACAGCATGACTGACAGCTGCTTTTTATCACTTCAGGCTCTGAAGTATTTTAAGGTGTCATTATTTAAGAATACAGGAAAATGAATTTACTTGAAACTACAGAAATTAGTTCATGAATAACTAAGGAAGAAAGATTCATTCTATCAAATAGGGAGGGTCTCTAATCAATGAAATTTTTTCCTTTGCAGTTTAATTCAATGATTACATATTGAGCACCTCCATGTGCAGGGCCTTACAATAACTGTGAAAGATAACAAAGGTGAGGAAAAAGATACGAAGACATTATTTTTTACCTTCAAAGGCTTCACGGATACACATTTTGAGGTGTATTACTGGTATTTTGTCCACCCTGGTTTGTTTGGGTTTTTTTTAACTGCCATATCAAAAAAAATACATGCTTCAGAAACAAAGTGTACAGTCAAATATACTATTTAAGTTACAAGTCTAAAGAAGCTGCAGGGAAACACTGCATGGTTCAAAATTGGGAAGGGTGTACACCAGGGATGTGTCCTATCTCCGTACCTTTTCAACCTGTATGCAGAACAGATTATCCGAGAGGCGGGGCTCTATGAGGAGAGGTGTGGTGGTGTCAGGATTGGTGGAATCTATCAACAATCTGCTTTATGCAGATGACACAACCCTGCTTGCTGAAACTGAGGGGAACCTGAAAGGCTTGCTGCAGAGGGTCAAGGACTGCAGTCTTCAGTATGGTTGAGGTTCAATGTCAAGAAGACAAAGATTCTCACCACTGGACCAACTGGCAGCAGCAGGATGGATGGTAAAGAGACTGAGATTATTAACAACTTTAGTCTGCTTGGCTCCACGGTCAACACTCTTGGCACCAGTAGCCAGGAAATCAAAAAGCATATTGTGATGGGAAAGTCTGCTGTTAGGGACCTCTTCAGGGTGCTGAAGAGCAATGGTGTCACTCTGGAGATTAAGGTGCATTTGATACAGGCTATGGTCTTTGCAATCACTTGTTATGCATCAGAGAGTTAGACAATGACAAGGAAGGATAGAAGGAGAATTGATGCCTTTGAGCTGTGGTGCTGGAGAAGAGTACTGAGGGTACCATGGACTGCTAAGAAAACAGATTCATCCTGGAGAGGGTAAAACCAGGCTGCTCCTTGGAGGCAAGGATTCTGGGGCTTCGTCTGACATACTTTGAACATGTTGTAAGGAGGGAGAGGTCCTTGGAGAGGGACATCATGCTTGAGAGGGTGGAGGGACGGCGTAGGAGGGGAAGACCCTCTATGAGATGGATTGATTCAGTGACTGGGGTAATCAGGATGGGTGTGTCAGAGGCAATGAGATTGGCACAGGACAGAGCAGGGTTTCGGGCTGTACATAGGGTCGCTATGAGTCACAAGCGACTCGACAGCACAAAACAACAACAACACAAAGAAGCTGAAGTGGATGGTCTATGAAGACTACAAAATACAAGCGCCTTTCGAAATCATGAGCTCAATGTCAAGAAGACAAACTGTTAAGAGCTAAACTATCAACCATGAGGGATACATACCGTCTTCAGAGTTTCCTAGGGAACTCTGGCAGCTTAGTGGAAAGGAGTCACAGTATCAAGCCAAGGTCAAGTAGCTCGAATCCACTAGCAGGTCTGAGGGAGAAAGATGGGCAATCTCCTCCCGTGCAACTGATACTACCTCTGAAAACCCACTGGAAGGTCAGCTATGAGTCAGTTCTGACTTGACAGTACCTGTTAAGGGTTGTCTAGGAGCTCCTGTTGGTGCAGTGGCTAAAGAGTTTATTGCTAACAAAAGGAATGATGGCTCAAACCTACCAGCTGCTTCATGGGAGAAAGATGTGGCAGTCTGCTTTCATAAAATTTACAGACTTAGAATCCCTATGTGTAGTTCTACTCTTTCCTATAAGTTTCTAGGTGGTTGTTGTTGTATGTGTAGAGTTGACAACCCACAGTGATCCTATAAACAATGGCTCCACCCTCAACCAGGTAGAGAGTTGGCAAAGGAGAGGAAGACCTTCAATCAGGTGGACTGACACAGTGACTGCTGCAATGGGTTCTTTGTGTGTCAGGAAGTGTGAGGACGGCACAGGATAGGAGAGGGTTCAGATCTTTTGTTCATAGGGTCACTATGGGTCATACTCAACTTGATGGGACCTAACAACAACAATCACCGCCTAAGCCCGCTAACAGCCCATTCTTTCATGTCCCCACTGAATCCTTCCCAATTCCTTCAGCCTCTCCCTCCACCCACCAATCTCTGCAATCGCCTTATTATCACCCCTCCCCTCGCTCAGCTCCTCTCCTTTCTCCCCTTTTGGATCTTATCTTTATACTCATCTTACTAGTTATCCTTCTATTATTACAATAAAAGATCTCATGCAGGATTTGTCCTTCTGAGACTGAGTTAGTTCACTCAGCATAATGCTCTCCAGTCTCTCCCATGTGATGTCGCATTTTTTTCAAAATCGTTGCTTCTAAGAACTATACAGTATTCCATCTTGTGA